CAAGGCAACAAGTCCCAGCATAGCCAATCTCCCGTTCAACAACTCGGCATCCGAACTCATGATATCGCCCGATTTCGACTCGGCCGTTACGCCTTGAAACAACGGAACCAAAGATGCAAGGGAGAAAAGGATGCTTGTTCCAACGAACAACGGGACCCCACCGTCCGATATCTGTGTAAACAGATCTTCACCCTTGGATAACTCCACCGCCAACGCTGCAACAAACCCAACCATCGCCAACCTACCGTTGATCCTCTCCGGTGCAGGTCCACTGAACGCGAACACATCGGAGAATTTGATGCTCGCTTTCGAAGCAGGGCTTGGGTTCCGCTTCTGCTCAGGTGTTTGCACCTTCCTTTCATCTTCCTGCAACAAACCCCAAATGTTAAGCTATAAACCCTAAAACTAGTGACAGTAAACAAATGCTTCCTGCAACAAACCCTAAAACTAGTATTAGTAAACACAGAAACTTGGAACTTACCTCCGCCAAGCAGCGAACCTGGACATTGGCATTCCTATGAAAACGAGGCGTGGGTTTAACGTTGTGTAAAGGAATCATCCGACTCCTGTTAGCAAGGCCAGTCATGGAGCTTGCCAGAAAGAGGGATTGCATTTGCATGACACTTGAAGCGGCCATTTTCTTCAAAGTACACAGTTTCTAGAACAAAGAAAGAACCCAAGAGATTGCTAGCGAGTATTAAAGTGAAGCTTTAATGGAGAAAAAAGCAGGAGACAATGCTTTGAATTATGATGGGTAGAAGCAGTATAGCAGCTTTAGGTTAAATAGACTAGGTTGGGAGAAGAGGGTGGTGGATATTTATGGATCCACGTAGCTTTGTATCTAATTCTAAAAAGTGATTGAGTCACGTGAGACAGTTGTCCACACATGGTTGATGTTGCTGACGTGGACTATTTTATTACCACAACACTGAGTTAAAAGGCAAAAAGTGAAAGGACGTTTGTGGTGTCTTTGCATGAACCATAAACGTGGCCGCTTCTGGATTCTTGACCGAACATTCTAGACCCTTATTACGACTGGCTATAACATCCACATTATTGTCCAAATGAATGACACAAGTTTGATCCCAAAAATATGCTAATAACACAAAAAACCTCACCAACGGAGACCGAGCGTGTGCACCTTGCATACGTGTAGCAGAGGTTGTTTGTTAAAGACTGAATTCCATCTGCGGTAAAATTGTTTTCGTCCCTAAGAACATGGTAGTGTGCTGGTCGACTTGTTCCCTGCCAAAGGTTAATGTAGAGCTGTACTCAACTTCCAAACTTAACAAAACAAAGCTGCGTGAATTGATCAATTTCCAACTTCAACGCTAAAGTTATGAGAGGCATTTTCTAAAATCAGGTAATCGGGCAGGTTTCAGTCAGATCTTGGTAGGTCGGGTAAAATTGAGTACAGATCAATTCAGGTTGATTTGACATCAGATCCAGATCAGGTTCAGGTCATGTCAAATCAGTTCGGGTTATTTTCAGGTTGATTTGAAATCAGATCCAGATCGGGTTCAGGTCGGGTAATTTTCAGTTCGGATCGATGTCAGTTCATGTAAAAACAATTTAGGTCCGAAGCAGATAAAGACCAGGTTAATTCAAGTTCAGGTTGACTTCAGTCGGATCTCGTTCAGATCGGGTCACATCATTGACAGATAAAATTCAGGTCGGATGTTTATCGGATACAGATTGAGTTCAGGTCGGGTCATTTTTATTTTTTTAGATTAATTATTTTGTCATATTTCGTGATTGTTGAATTGGAAGTTGTAATTGTATATGATTTCGAGTAAAATTAGAGAAAAATTAATATTCATGGATCAATTTTGGAAAAACAATAAATTTAATGACAAATTTGAAGAATGTAAAATTACAAATAAAATCTTAAAATATAAATTAAACAACACACATAGGTAAGGGACTAAATCAAAATAAATTTAAAATGTGAGGTTTAAATTAATATAAAAAAGGACTAAATTAAACACATTTAAAAAATTATGGGTCAGTTACAAAAATATAAATAAATAACAACTAACAATGGAATATGCAAATATAAATTTAATGACTAAATTGAATACATATAAAAGTTAGAGACTTAAAATTGAAATAAATTAAAAACACAAAAGGGTTAAATCAAAATAAATGAAAAATATACTAACTTACATTCATTCAAAAAATTGAAAAAATATAATATATATAATATAAAATTATGTATAAACTATATAATTATTATAAACTATATATAAATTATATTTATGTGCACTCTATATATAAACTATGTATATAAAATTATAAACTATATTTATATTATAAACTATATTATTATTATAAGCTATATATATAAATTATGTTTATGTGAACTATATATATAAACTATATATGTATAAACTATAAAAAGTATATAGTTTATAAACTATTATTTATATTAATATAGTATATATATATATAACTATATATGTATAAACTATATAAACTATATAATTTATATGTTATAATTTATATTAATATAGTATATATATGTATGTATAACTAATATATATATATATATATATATATAATAAAAATATGCTTAAACCCTATACCCTGAAACATAAACCCTAAATCCTAAACATTATAAACTATATATATATAGATACATTTGATAATTCATATATAGTTTATATAAACAATAGATTATATAAATTATATATATAACATTAACCTATAGTCTATAAACAATAGTTAATATATGTAACTTATAGTATGTGTATACATGCAATGTAAACTATATATGTAACTTATAGTATATGTATACATGTAATGTAAACTATATATGTAACTTATAGTACATGTATGTATAAACTATGTATAGTATATATCTATATATCATATAAAGTAAATTACTTATATAGTTTATAGAAACAATATGCATAAACTATATAAATTAATAAAGTATATATTATATAACCCTAAACCTATTACCCTAAACTCTAAATCCTAAACTTTAAATCTTAAACCTTAACCCTTACCTATGTAATTTACATATGAACTATAGTTTACATATTAACTATATATATAGTTTATTAGTGAACTACAAACACTATATTTAAAAAATTGCATTCGTTTAAAAAATTGAAAACAAAATTATAATATATATATATATATATATATATATATATATATAATATAAGTTTATATATAAACTATATATATAAACTATGTATATAAACTATATATGTATAAACTATAAAAAGTATATAGTTTATAAAATATAACTTATATTAATATTAATATATATATATGAATTATATATGTATAAAATATATAGTTTATAAATTATAATTTATATTAATATAGTATATATATGTATGTATAACTAATATAAGTAATCTATAGAATATATATATATATATAGTTTATAGAAACACTATGCATAAATTATATTAAGTAATAAAGTATTTAGTTGATAAAAACCCTAAACCCTAACTAAACACCGAACCTTAAACCCTAAACCTTAAACCCTAAACATTGTACATAAATAATAGTTAATATGTGTAACCTATAGTATATGTATACATGTAAACTATATATGTAACTTATAGTATATGTATGCATAAACTATGTATAGCATATATAAACTATATATATAACCTATAATATATTTATATAAACAATCTATTTATAAGTTATATAAATTATATATGTAACCTATAGTTTATAAGCAATAGTTTATATTAGTGTACTATATAGTTTATACTTTATAACCTATTGTATATAATTTATAAACTATAGTTTATATTAATGTTAATTATCTTAACTATAATTTATATTAATATAGTATATAGTTTATAAACTATACAATATAATTTATAACATATAGTTTATATTAATATTAATTTTATAGACTATATTTTATATTAATATTAATTACAAATTATAAACTATATTATATTAATATAAGTTAATATTAATTATAATATATAATTATTTTAATATTAATTATAAATATCATTTTCTCCCGCCTCTTCCCGCCAAACCCTCCCTCCTTTATTTTCGGTCTCTATTCTTCCCCGCTCATCATCCAAAATTATGTTTCCCTCGTTTTGCCTCTTCTTCCCCACTCAGCATCCAAAAGTTGCCGAACACGGGTCAATAAGGGATATGAGTTGCAGGCTCAGTTGAACTCGGTTCTGGAGGATTTAAAGACAACGATTACCCTTCTCTGTTCTCTTGCCACTCGCTGAGTCCGCCCGGTTATTTTAACCCCCTCTCGCCCTATTCTCACTCTCTCTCTCCGATTTTCTCTGCTTCCAAACAACGTTTGTTCTCTTTCGTTACTAATAATCTCTTTATTGTTCCCTGTTTTGGCTATTTCTAAAGGAGCGGTGGAGATCCGTTTATCTTTTTAACTTGTCAAAGTTGCGGGTATGGCTCAAAGTATAATAAATTCTTACTGGATTATGTTATGTTTAGTGAAGCACACTCCAGGAAAACATTGTTGAGTGGCTGGATTTCTATCTTCATATGTTAGTTTCCAGATTTAGGACTGTAATAGTTGATTGCATGGGTTCTATATCTGTTAATAATGTGTTAATTATGAGTTGATTCTTTTTTTCTTTTATGAATGAACAGGATGTCTATCTTCATACTACTTGTCTTGCAATGTTGGCAAATATGGCACCTCATGTTCATCACTTGAGTGCATATGCTTCTCAGAGACTAGTCAGCCTCTTCTATATGCTTTCATGCAAGTAAGTCATTTATATTTAGACCACTTTTTTTTACCATAGCACTTCCTTGATTCTTTGATGAATGTTTCCTATGTTGCACAACTCTTCATTTTGCTTGAAAGTACCAGTCTTCAACTCTAAACTCTTATCTTGATGCTTATTTGGACATGGTTATGGGACCCTTCAAATGCATGGGAAAACTTGGAAAAATTGAACATACTTGCGTTGGGAGTAACAATGATTCATAGATATTTTATGTCAGCACTGTTTTCCTAACTGTTACTGTAAATGTGTTGGGAGTTTAGGTATAACAAATTGGTAGAGGTAAGGGATGATAAATTGCAAACCAAAACCATCTCAACAGTAGACGGCCTTGTGGAAGATATGGTAACTGTCCTCATTTTGGCATGTGATATAGCCCTTTGTAAAAAAATTACGTGTATCTTAAATAGGGTGAATTCACGAGATAATGTTCTCGAATTTTTTTTTTCACGATATGGTGCACATTCCAGATTAATTCTTGGAATGGGGTGAATTCTACAGTGATCATAGGACGCCATGCAATCCAGGCGATCTTGTAGGACGCCATGCAATCCAGGCGACATACAGGGTGACATACGAGCCATACGAGCCAATGGGGAGAGGTCGCCATGCGAGGTCGCCATGCAGTCCTGGAATAGAGAGGTCGCCATGCAGCCTAGGCGACCTTGTAGGTCGCCATGTAGTCCCGGCGACCTTGTAGGTCGCCATGTAGTCCCGGCGACCTTGTAGGTCGCCATGTAGTCCCGGCGCCATTCCCATCATCCATGCACAGCCACATAGATTCCTTCACGTGCTCCCCGCTGCATGCTGCATGCCTACAGCTCCCAATGAAACCATGTGAACCATTTGAGCCAATGCATGTGAAATAATTGGTTCAATTAGATTCCTTCACGTGCTCCCCGCTGCATGCTGCATGCCTACAGCTCCCAATGAAACCATGTGAACCATTTGAGCCAATGCATGTGAAATAATTGGTACAATAATTGAACCATTGCTGCGTGAAATATCATAGCTGCAATTGTACAATTATTGGTGAAATAATTGAGGCAGCCGGTTGGTGAAATAATTGAGGCAGCCGGTTATAAAAGAAAGAAAGAAAGGGAGAAGAGATTGCAGAAGAAAGTTAGAAGAGATTGCAGCCGAGAAAGAAAGAAAGGGAGAAAGGAAAGAAAGAAAGGGAGAAAGGAAAGTAAGAAGAAGAAAGGGAGATAAGGTAAATTTTTTTATATTTAAATTAGTTTATTATTATAAATGTTTAATTTGTTAGTTTAGGGTTTAGGGTAAAACAAAAAGAAGCTAATTAGTTTGTTAGTTTAGGGTTATATGATTGTTAATTTAAGTTATAGTATACATAAATTAAAAATTATTTAATTAATTAGTATATGTTTGATAGTTATATAGTTAAAAAATAATTAATTAGTTTGTTTTGTTAATAGTTAGTTATATAAAAAAATTATTTAATTAGTTTGTGTTAGTTAAATAGTTAAGTTATATTTTGTTTGTTGAATTTATATTATATAAAAAATTAGTTAGTAAGTTTATTAGTAGTATATTATAATGAAAAAATAGTTTATTAGTTAGTTTTAGTTATATAGAAGAATATTTTATTAGTTGTTTAAGGGTTTAGCGTTTACGTTTAACTTATATTTTAAAAAGTTTAGTTTGTTAGTTTATTAGTTTATTATATTATAAGTTATTATATTAAAGTTTAGTGTTGTAAATTAGTTAGTTAGTTTATATTAGGTTATATTAAATGATTTTTTAAATATTGTTGTTTAATTTTTTTTTACAGATTCATTCCAATGGCTGACCAAATTCCACTGTTGAGGCTTGACAATGAACATATTTCAAGTCATTTGGGAATAATGGTGAATAAAATATTTGTTTAATGAATTATAATTAATAAATATTTGAATATTATTTATGATTGTGATAATTTTTTTGAAATATTTAATTGTAGGAGGACGAGCAGCGAGTCCTTCGTCTTCGACTACATAAAGTGCCCAAGCCACACCCACTAATAGAAGAAAATTTGCAAGAGGCTGGATTTTGGTATATCACATTTGTGCGAGATTACAAGTTGGTCCCAGGTTTGATCAGTGCGTTGATTAAACGTTGGAGACCAGAAACGCACACGTTTCATTTGCCGTGTGGCGAATGCACGATAACTTTGGAGGATGTGGCAATGCAACTCGGGGTCCAAACTAATGGGATGCCGGTGGTAATGTCACATGAGTTTAATAAGGTGGAACAACTTTGCAACTTGTTTCTTGGGAAAGCGCCCGTACCACCAGAGTGTAAAGGGTGGCGGGTGAGGTTGTCATGGTTGAAGAATGAATTTCAACTTCAATCAAATAGTACGGAGCACGAAATTATATATGCAACACGAGCATATATATTACAATTGATTGGGGGAATTTTGATGCCTGATAAATCCGGTAGTTATGTTCACACTCAGTATCTTCTTTTTTTAACAAATTTTGAGAATTGTAGGCAATATAGCTGGGGTTCGGCGATATTGGCGTTCTTGTATCGTGAGATGTGCAAGGCGTCATTAGTCGTGAATGATAATAATACAGTAGAAATCGGTGGATGTCTGTTGCTGCTACAATCATGAGCTTGGCATAGACTTCCGTTTTTGACACCGATTAGTCGGACTGCGGTTGACTTTCCACTTGCCGGAAGGTAATATGAATCCTCTATTTTAATATAAAATATTAATTAAAAAATATTTATTTTGATTAAAATTATTGAACAAAATGTCTCTATTTTTGTTTTGATTGATATACAGATGGAGGCATAAAATTGAAGGCACAGGGTTGGTGCACAACAACATTAAAGAGTTCAGGTTGAAGATCGACATTAAGGCCAAAAAGGAGGTATGCATAATTTGTATTTTTTAATTATTATTTAAATTAACTATATTATCTGATTTAAATAAATTTTATTGTTTTTGTAATTTTACAGTTTAATTGGAGACCATACATGAATGAAGAATTATTTGTGTTGATACCGCACGATATTTTAGATGGGTTTCAATATTGGTGTGCTGTTACACCATTGATCAATTTTGCTTTTGTTGAGATCCAATTTGGGGATAGAGTGCTGAGGCAATTCCACTTCCACCAACCTATTCCGCGGAGTCCATGGGATCATGACCTCCTCCAAAACTTAGATGGTCGTCGTCCAGTGAATTGGGTTGAGACGCATGACGACCTGCACAGATTTGATGGTCGTCGTAAAGAAAGCGTTAATTGGGTTGAGAAGCATGCAACCTACATTAATGCTTGGAACAATAGGGCTTCATTCATGCCAACTCTTGACGCCATTCAAGATGCCGACTTTAATTTTGAGACTTCGGCTTACCTTGCTTATTTTTTGGATAATGGAAAGTCGTTCCTCACAACAATAGTAGAGAGGCGACAATTTTTGAGGTTTAAGAAAAGATTTGGTAAAGCTGAATACTCTCTACCGAGTGGGAGTGGGAGTTCATCTCTACAAACTGAAGCGGAAATGACCGATGTGGATAATAGCGCACCACAATCGTTGCATCACGCAGTTGATGATTCTACTGGCCCGGCATACATACCAGAGTTTGTGCAGCCTGAGGCACCCATCTATTCTCCTACGTTTTCGTCGACGTATGACTTTGAACACATGACAGTTCAAATACCCCCAATGAATGAGGGGGATGGGTACAATACTCCTGAGCCACAACGGCCACAACGTATCAGACGTCCGCCCCGACATTATCATTCAACAATACCCCGACATCGACAACAATTGTAAACTCTTTTGCTATTTATTACAAATTATTTATTGAAATTAGACTACTTTTTTTAACCTTAACAATGATGTTTAGTATCAAATCATTACTAGTATCAAATAATTAAATATTTAGTAAATCAACTATTTTAAATCATTAGTATCAAATAATTAAATATTAACAATAAATCCTTATTAATAATAATTAGTAAATCATTAGTATCAAATCATTAAATATTTAAAAATCATTAATAAATTCGACTATGTATAAATTTAAACTCAGTAATCCACACTTGTACACTCATTTGTTAGTATTCTATAATTATTAGTAATAATTATTAAATCATTAGTATTAAATCATTATTATAAATAATTACTAAATAATAACTAAATAATTATTATAAAATCATTATTATAATGATTATTATCAAATCATTACTAAATCATCAAATCATTAAATATTTAAATCATTATTAAATCATTTTTATAATGATTATTACTAAATCATTATTATAATGATTATTATCAAATCAATACTATAATGATTATTATCAAATCATTACTAAATCATCAAATCATTAAATATTTAAATCATTATTAAATCATTTTTATAATGATTAATAAATACATAGAAATACATATATGATTACTAATGATGAGACCTATATCTTGGTAAATTAGGACAATTGTTTTTTGAATGGCCTTCACCCCTACATAATCCGCATCTCTTTGCTTGACCTCTCTCTTTAGCATGAAAATCCATACTGGTATGAATTCGAGTGGACTCAGGTCGACCCTTTGGACTTCTGCGAAGCATTGGATTTGGTAGCCATTCATCATGATCCTTTTTGGGCCAATATGATTCATTCGGGATCTGTCTGAACACATAGCTGTAGACATTTAATATCCTACGTAGGTGGAAGCATTCATCAACATAAGTGTATGCGCTTACACCAGCATACATACATGCAGCGACTGCATGAGCACATGGATATTTCCATGCCTGAAAACGACCACAATCACACCATTTGTGTCGTAAATCAACTCTAAATGTTTGGTCTTCTCCTCCGACGTTACGACGTATGCACGACACGACAAAAGTATGACCAACTCGGTCGAAATTATGAACAACCATTGATGTTGCCAATCGCTCATTTGCTTCCATTGATTCCACCACTGTAGGAGCCCGAGTTTTACCTCTATTTATGAGACTCTCAATTTCCTTGCCTTTGTCCGACCAAACTTTACCCAGTCTAAAGTACGTCTCTTTCACCACACTCGCTATTGGGAGATGGCGTGTACCTTTTAGTACCGAATTAATGGCCTCAACAAGGTTTGTGGTCATATGTCCGTATCTCCGACCTTCATCATATGCTTGCGACCATTTTTCCCGCGGTATTTTTGAAGCCCACTTCCAAACACGCTGATCATCGTAAAATACCTTCAAATTCTCCAATCTCTTGTCAAAATTTGGTCGACGTAGTTCGTATCCTGTTCCATAATATTGTGTTAAACCGCAATTAAAAAACCACGTAAAAAATACACAAATATTGAAATTAAAACTTACCCATGCTGACTATCTCGCTACGAATATGTGCGTTATGAAACTGGTCGATACTATTCTTGCCAATATGACGGATACAAAATGTCGGATATGCATACGGAGGTATCCAACGACTTCCTGGTCGTTCAATTGCCGCCAAAATACCTGTTCCTCTATCGGATATCAAGCAAACTCCATCTTCACGAACGAAATATTGACGTAGATTGGTCAGAAAGAAATCCCAAGCCTCTGTTGTCTCTCCCTCAACAATGGCGAATGCAATTGGGAAGATATTTCGCTCACCATCTTGAGCAACTGCCATCAAAAGTACATGCCTATATTGACCATACAACCACGTACCATCTACTTGGATCATACGTTTGCAAAATGGAAATCCTTCAATACATGCCTTGAATGCCCAAAATAGTCTATGAAATATTTTCTTTCCTGGCAGAAGTTGACCTTCTTCGTCATATGCGGGCATGGTTTGAGACTTCACTATAGTTCCTGGGATAAATCGCTTCATTGCTTGTAGCAAATGTGGTAGCTCATTGTACGATGTATCCCAATCTCCATACGTCAACTTCATTGCCTTCATTTTCGCATTCCACACCTTGCCATATTTTTACTTGATATCCAAATTGGCTTCGAATAGATGCAACTAACACTGAACAAGATATCCTTGGATCATTTTCAACCATCGCCTTCACGTATTCACATATTACATCGGAGTCCAATAGTCGGTGGTCTTGTTCGATGGAGTTTCGCAAACATGTGTGCGAACCATTGTACCTCGTGATGACCCAAACATCGTGCCTTTGATTTTTCGACACTCTGATCTTCCACTTGCACTCTGGGCCATATTTTACACACTTTGCGTATAGGGTTTTCTGGTTGGACTCTGCAACATGGACATCAACATGGAATTTGATGCAGTACTCTTTAATCGCCAACGTAGCTTCATTTTTTCCTCTGAATTGCACCCCAACTGAAAATTCACCAGAATTATCGAATGATTCAGTCATTTGGTACGGAGGTAAATGTGGCATGTCTGGGAATTCAGGTGCCCTCATTGCATCATAGTCTATCTCGTACATGTGAGGAGTAGCTTCATACGGTGCCGGAACTTCATCAATTGCACCTCCACCAAAAATATTTTCGTCGTCGCCCAAAACGGGTTCTTCGGTTTCTTCATCTTCGCTTGAATCATCGTGAATTTCTCCCCATCGATTTTCACCGTCAATATTAACAACCAATTTCGATATGTTTCTCGTCTCATACTCTGCTGTTGCAGATGTCCCCCCGACTTCATTTACACTTTCCAATAGTGCCATAAAACTGTTCGGGAACCTGTACGTCGGCTCCTCAAACTGACTATATAAAGCCATTTCAGATGGATTTGAGCCACACCTCTTGATGACCCAGGAACATCACATATGTTACGCACATCAACAAATAACTCAATAACTGCTATATTGGTTGACTCATGTAATCCAACCATGGTTCCAATATCATCATCTTCTTCAAGTGGAACTGCAGCATATCTGACTGGGTTGGGGCATATCATAAACCTATACCTCAAACCATCAACTGCAGCTCGAATTTTTCTTTATATCTTATGCTTCATTTCTATAAATGTGATGTCTTTTTTGAACATCATATTTATTGGTTTTTCAGACTGAAAAGCTACTCCGACCTCATTTTCCATAATCTGTCCATTATAATGGACAATCGTGAAAAAGTTGTTGCTCATTTTCTCTACAAATAAAAAAATAAATTAATTTATATTAAAATATTAGATAAGATAATTTCATAAAACATTAAATCATTAAATATAATATAATATACTATTATATTATATTAATGATCAAATAAAATTTGTTATTTAACTTGATTAATTGATTAATTACTAATATTATTAATAATGCTTTAATAATTATTATTAATCTAATGATTTGATATTTAATGATTTAATAATAATATGATTTAGTCATGATTACTAATAATTATTTATTATAAATATTTAATGATTTAGATTTGATACTAATTATTTAGTTATTATTACTAATAATCATGATTAGTTTGATAATTTTTTTTATTTTTTAAAAATATCAAACAAATTTGTTAGGCAAAATATCGTAATAATGCGTTGGCCGGATTATTTCATTCAATTAATTTTTACTCCTTACTAATTTACACATACAATATAAAAAAACAAATATATTTTTTTTAAACAACACTAAATATTTTAAACACAATATTTTTTTTAAACAAAAATTATCTCGCACAAATTAGTTTATATAATCTAATATAAACTTACTATCTAACTAATTTACACATACACAACAACAAAAAATAGACAACAAAAAATAATAAATTACTCACGTATTTATGCCTTCCTCCTTTCCTTTCTTTTCCTTCTTTGTTTCTTTATTCGAATCAATTTCAACATGGGCAAATGTTGTGGAATAATGCCCTGTATGTGTAAACCGTTTAATTTATTTAAACAGCAATAGCTCCCACAAATTAATTTTATATAATCTAATATATAATATAACTTAAACTAATAAACTATTTCTTTATTATAATATAACTTAGTTAAAATAACACACTAATTAAGCACTAATTAATTTTTTTATAATATAACTTCAACTTCAATGAAGAATCTAATATATGTTTAAAGACACTAACAAATTAATTAATATTTTTTTATATTTAATAACTTAAACTAATTAACTAATTAACTAATTTTTTTTATATAATATATAACTTAAACTAACCAACTAATAATTTATACTAACAAACTAATTAACTAGATTTTAGTTTTACCCTAAACCCTAAACTAACAAACTAATAATTTCATATAATAAACTAAATTAAACAATAAAAAATTACCTCACAAACTATGTTTGATCCTTTATCTTATTTTCTTCTTCTTCCTTTTGCTTCTCTCGGCAAAGTTTATATGTGCTTATGCTTATACTCCTGGTTGTTCTTCTGCTTCTATCCTAAACCCCATATCATTTATATAAAGCAAAAAATCGTTGTACAAAGTCTTTAAAATTTGACTATTGAATAAAATATTATTAGGATTGAATCGTATAACTATTGCGCATTGAAAGTCTTCAATTGAACAGCAATATTTGCTGTATTTAACAGCTAAATTAACGCTGCAATCATACAGCTATGGATGCAACGCATGCAGTTACGGATGCAGGAATCTCCCAGCTAGCTATGGATGCAACGCATGCATGAGTGATACAGTTAAAGCTTGGTCGTTGCATGCATGAGTGCTACAGTTAAAGCTTGGTCGCGATGCAGGAATCTCACAGCTATGGAGACTCCATGGCGACCTACCACCTACCCTACCACCTACCATGTCGTAGGGACTCCATGGCGACCTACCATGTCGTCGGGACTCCATGGCGACCTACCATGTCGTCGGGACTCCATGGCGACCTACCATGTCGCCGGCAACCTAGAACCGATCCTTGGTCGCCCCGAGTGCCCCATGCATGAACCGATCCTTGGTCATCCTTGGTGCATGGCCCATGCAGAGGTTTGCCGAGATCAGACCACGTGAACAAAGCGCATGCTACCTATCCCATGCCTCGTGCATGGCCCATGCATAGCACCAAAGCAGCATCAGCGAGCAACAGCGGGCACCAAAGCAGCATCAGCGAGCAACAGCGGGCAAAGAACCAGGGCAAATAATGATGGACGCCGGGCGTGCATGGCGACCTATAAGGACGCCGGGCGTGCATGGCGACCTATAAGGACGCCGGGCGTGCATGGCGACCTATGTTGCCACTGTAGAATTTACCCCATTCGAGCAATTAATCTACCCAGTGCATCATCTCGTAAAATATTTTTTTTGAATCCATTATGTCGTGAGTTTTGCCATCCTAAAATAATATTTATTTCTCTCGTTGCAGTCTGCAGAGTTGCAAATTTATACCGACTTCTTGAGAATTGTCCTATAAATATTAAATGCAATTTTGACATATGCACTGCTGCGGAATCCTGAGGTATATCTTTTATCGAAGTTGCATGTGTGATAATCTTGTATGCATTCCATTTCAGCAACAATTATGAAGATGTGGATTTGTGCAGGTTGTCTATGCCATTATGCACAGACAGGAAGTCTTTCAACCGTTCAGGAACCATCCTCGCTTTGCTGAGCTCCTTGAAAATATATATAATGTATGCTCTTCGGGTTTATATGATGAAACTCATTATTTGATCTTCCATTTCTTTGTTCTTGAAGAAGCAGTTCAGAGTTCAGACCATCGTTTCAATGCTCTAAGATTTCCTAATGTCCCCCTCCCCAAAAAAAAAAACATGCTTTTTGATTGTTTTGGCTTTTATAGGTATTGGATTTTTTTCAACAGTCGTATGGACTCCCAAAGAATGGATGGTGAATGGTCTGTAGAAAAAGTTCTCCTGTTCATAATTAATAATTGTCGATCTTGGCGAGGTGACGGGATGAAGGTAAAATTACACGACGATATTGCTTAATTTTTGAATTGCAAAGTACTCACTCAAACCCACACCCGTTGACACACTAAATCATTTCATTATCAAGTATGGCTGTTGCTTCATTTCAATTTATTTTGGTCCTATATCGACAGATATTCACTCAGTTACACTTCTCATATGAACAAGAGAGTCATCCGGAGGAGTTCTTTATTCCATATGTTTGGCAGCTCGTCTTATCCTGCTGGTAATAATCCGAACCTTACACAAAGAATTTACCTTAAATGTTTTACATTTAAGATTGTACCCTGCATATGATTATCGCTTATCTCTGATGGCCGATCCATGCTCTGCCCCGTTTTCTTTTCAGCGGATTCAGTTTCAATGCAGATGCTATAAATTTGTTCCCTGTTGATCTGCACGCCGATGTAAGTATTGGATCTTGTTTTAAGTTTCGTTAGCTAATTATGTGACTACGTGGTAGAGTTCCTTTTATATGAATGATTCTTTCAACATATTCTACTCTACCGGTTGGTGCATCAGACTTTAACTCATGTTTTTCATTAACTATTTTGCAGAAACAGATTTACTACGAAGAACCGAATATAAATCTAAATGGTGAGTTAAACGAACACCGAGTTCTGTTTGATCCGTAAAAAAAGAAAAGGCATTTTATACCATACGCTTGCGCTATGCATGTACGGTTTGTGGTGTATTTCGTAAATACATGAAAAGATAAAAAATAGCAGAAAATGTATTATTGGTATTCTTTTTTTTATCAAAATAAAAAGCTCTAGAATCTTTAATTTTTTATTATTCTCACAATCTCTAATTTTCTAAAAATTTCCCTAAAACCTCTTAATTTATTATATTCTTAAATCTTACATCATCTCGGTATTGTACAAGTAATTCTCATTTCCTTACTGTGAATAGATTTAACTTTTTTTTTGCTTCAGAAATGATTTGTAATAGCTTAATTTAGTTATTCCAAAGCTTGTTGAATCCTGAAATTTACAAGCCTCAACGGAGTAGAAAATTGAATAGATTTCTATTTTACGAAATTATTTATTTCAAGACTCATTGACACAATTAAAAAAAATAAATTTTAATATAGATACGTGTACGCCTAGACAAATGGTGGATCCATTATTGTGAATAGATTTATTTTTTTAGCTTAAGAAAATGACTTGTATTAGCGTAATTTAGTTATTCCAAAGCTTCTTGAATCCTGAAATTTACAAGCTTTAACGGAGAAGGAACTTCAATATATTTCTATTTTACGAAATTACAAGGCTACGGAGATTATATATTCCCACTTTAAGAACAAAGACTGGAAAAAAATTACACCAGGGTTCCACCCTTGACATATTCGGTGAGTGCCAAGGCAACAAGTCCCAGCATAGCCAATCTCCCGTTCAACAACTCGGCATCCGAACTCATGATATCGCCCGATTTCGACTCGGCCGTTACGCCTTGAAACAACGGAACCAAAGATGCAAGGGAGAAAAGGATGCTTGTTCCAACGAACAACGGGACCCCACCGTCCGATATCTGTGTAAACAGATCTTCACCCTTGGATAACTCCACCGCCAACGCTGCAACAAACCCAACCATCGCCAACCTACCGTTGATCCTCTCCGGTGCAGGTCCACTGAACGCGAACACATCGGAGAATTTGATGCTCGCTTTCGAAGCAGGGCTTGGGTTCCGCTTCTGCTCAGGTGTTTGCACCTTCCTTTCATCTTCCTGCAACAAACCCCAAATGTTAAGCTATAAACCCTAAAACTAGTGACAGTAAACAAATGCTTCCTGCAACAAACCCTAAAACTAGTATTAGTAAACACAGAAACTTGGAACTTACCTCCGCCAAGCAGCGAACCTGGACATTGGCATTCCTATGAAAACGAGGCGTGGGTTTAACGTTGTGTAAAGGAATCATCCGACTCCTGTTAGCAAGGCCAGTCATGGAGCTTGCCAGAAAGAGGGATTGCATTTGCATGACACTTGAAGCGGCCATTTTCTTCAAAGTACACAGTTTCTAGAACAAAGAAAGAACCCAAGAGATTGCTAGCGAGTATTAAAGTGAAGCTTTAATGGAGAAAAAAGCAGGAGACAATGCTTTGAATTATGATGGGTAGAAGCAGTATAGCAGCTTTAGGTTAAATAGACTAGGTTGGGAGAAGAGGGTGGTGGATATTTATGGATCCACGTAGCTTTGTATCTAATTCTAAAAAGTGATTGAGTCACGTGAGACAGTTGTCCACACATGGTTGATGTTGCTGACGTGGACTATTTTATTACCACAACACTGAGTTAAAAGGCAAAAAGTGAAAGGACGTTTGTGGTGTCTTTGCATGAACCATAAACGTGGCCGCTTCTGGATTCTTGACCGAACATTCTAGACCCTTATTACGACTGGCTATAACATCCACATTATTGTCCAAATGAATGACACAAGTTTGATCCCAAAAATAGCTAATAACACAAAAAACTCACCAACGGAGCCGAGCGTGTGCACCTTGCATACGTGTAGCAGAGGTTGTTTGTTAAAGACTGAAGAGAAAATAACTTCAGTGACCAAAAATCTTAGATAATATACGATTTTGATCAACTTTTTTTGGATTTGCGAAAATGACCAAGAAAATCGCAATGCGATCTCTAATTCGCATTGCGATCTCCACTATCTCAAATTCACGTTTGCAACGCGAAATGGAAAATCGCAACACGAAATGGAAAATCGCAACGCGATTTTCAACTATCGCAACGCGAAATGCAACGCGAATTTGCGATAGTGGAGATCGCAATGCGAATTAGAGATCGGATTGCGATTTTGTTGGTCATTTTCGCAAATCCAAAAAAAGTTGATCAAAATCATATATTATCTGGGATTTTTTGTCACTAAGTTTATTTTCTCAAGACTAAATTCCATCTGCGGTAAAATTGTTTTCGTCCCTAAGAACATGGTAGTGTGCTGGTCGACTTGTTCCCTGCCAAAGGTTAATGTAGAGCTGTACTCAACTTCCAAACTTAACAAAACAAAGCTTGCGTGAAATGATCAATTTCCAACTTCAACGCTAAAGTTATGAGAGACATTTTCTAAAATCAGGTAATCGGACAGGTTTCAGTTGGATCTTGGTAGGTCGGGTAAAATCGGGTACATGTCAATTCAGGTTGATTTGACACCAGATTCAGATCGGGTTCAGGTTAGGTCAAATCAGTTCGGGTTATTTTCAGGTTGATTTGACACCAGATCCAGATCGAGTTCAGGTCGGGTAATTTTCAATTCGGATCGATGTCAGTTCAGGTAAAAACAATTCAGGTCCGAAGCAGATAAAGACCAGGTTAATTCAAGTTCGGGTTGACTTCAGTCGGATCTCGTTCAGATCGGGTCACATCATTGACAGATAAAATTCAGGTCGTATGTTTATCGGATACAGATTGAGTTCAGGTCGGGTCTTTTTTATTTTTTTAGATTAATTATTTTGTCATATTTCGTGATTGTTGAATTGGAAGTTGTAATTGTATATGATTTCGAGTAAAATTAGAGAAAAATTAATATTCATGGATCAATTTTGTAAAAACAATAAATTTAATGACAAATTTGAAGAATGTAAAATTACAAATAAAATCTTAAAATATAAATTAAACAACACACATAGGTAAGGGACTAAATCGAAATAAATTTAAAATGTGAGGTTTAAATTAATATAAAAAAGGACTAAATTAAACACATTTAAAAAATTATGGGTCAGTTACAAAAATATAAATAAATAACAACTAACAATGGAATATGCAAATATAAATTTAATGACTAAATTGAATACATATAAAAGTTAGAGACTTAAAATTGAAATAAATTAAAAACACAAAAGGGTTAAATCAAAATAAATGAAAAATATACTAACTTGCATTCATTCAAAAAATTGAAAAAATATAATATATATAATATAAAATTATGTATAAACTATATAATTATTATAAACTATATATAAATTATATTTATGTGCACTCTATATATAAACTATGTATATAAAATTATAAACTATATTTATATTATAAACTATATTATTATTATAAGCTATATATATAAATTATGTTTATGTGAACTATATATATAAACTATATATGTATAAACTATAAAAAGTATATAGTTTATAAACTATTATTTATATTAATATAGTATATATATATAAAACTATATATGTATAAACTATATAAACTATATAATTTATATGTTATAATTTATATTAATATAGTATATATGTATGTATAACTAATATATAGAATATATATATATATATATATATATTAAAAACACTATGCATAAACTATATAAAATAATAAATTATATAGTTTATAAAAATCTTAAACCCTATACCCTGAAACATAAACCCTAAATCCTAAACATTATAAACTATATATATATAGATACATTTGATAATTCATATATAGTTTATATAAACAATAGATTATATAAATTATATATATAACATTAACCTATAGTCTATAAACAATAGTTAATATATGTAACTTATAGTATGTGTATACATGCAATGTAAACTATATATGTAACTTATAGTATATGTATACATGTAATGTAAACTATATATGTAACTTATAGTACATGTATGTATAAACTATGTATAGTATATATATATATCATATAAAGTAAATTACTTATATAGTTTATAGAAACAATATGCATAAACTATATAAATTAATAAAGTATATATTATATAACCCTAAACCTATTACCCTAAACTCTAAATCCTAAACTTTAAATCTTAAACCTTAACCCTTACCTATGTAATTTACATATGAACTATAGTTTACATATTAACTATATATATAGTTTATTAGTGAACTACAAACACTATATTTAAAAAATTGCATTCGTTTAAAAAATTGAAAACAAAATTATAATATATATATATATATATAATATAAGTTTATATATAAACTATATATAAACTATGTATATAAACTATATATGTATAAACTATAAAAAGTATATAGTTTAAAAAATATAACTTATATTAATATTAATATATATATATGAATTATATATGTATAAAATATATAGTTTATAAATTATAATTTATATTAATATAGTATATATATGTATGTATAACTAATATAAGTAATCTATAGAATATATATATATATATATATATATATATATAGTTTATAGAAACACTATGCATAAATTATATTAAGTAATAAAGTATTTAGTTGATAAAAACCCTAAACCCTAACTAAACACCGAACCTTAAACCCTAAACCTTAAACCCTAAACATTGTACATAAATAATAGTTAATATGTGTAACCTATAGTATATGTATACATGTAAACTATATATGTAACTTATAGTATATGTATGCATAAACTATGTATAGCATATATAAACTATATATATAACCTATAATATATTTATATAAACAATCTATTTATAAGTTATATAAATTATATGTAACCTATAGTTTATAAGCAATAGTTTATATTAGTGTACTATATAGTTTATACTTTATAACCTATTGTATATAATTTATAAACTATAGTTTATATTAATGTTAATTATCTTAACTATAATTTATATTAATATAGTATATAGTTTATAAACTATACAATATAATTTATAACATATAGTTTATATTAATATTAATTTTATAGACTATATTTTATATTAATATTAATTACAAATTATAAACTATATTATATTAATATAAGTTAATATTA